TTTGGACTTATCTTTCCCTTGTGTCTTGTTTTCTTCATTCTCCCTTGCTCCTGAAGGGGTGAGACCAGTGGAGTATCTTAGATGGCTGCTCACAGGCTTTTAAGATCCCAGACACTACACACCAAGGTAGAATGTAGAACATTGTCTTTATAAATTGCCTTATGCCAATTGAGCTAGATGTCCCCTGAGACCATGGTCCCCAGAGTCCTCTGCCCAGCAGTTCGGTCCCTCAGGGAGTTTGGATTTGTCTATGGAGCTTCCATGACCTTTCCTTGTACAAGTTGTGCTGGCTTCCCCAGTATTGTGTGCTGTCTTACCCTTCACCAAAGTTACCATTTATCTATTTAGTATTTCCCTCACCCCCACCCCTTCCATCCCTTGTAACCAAAAAAGATTGTTTCTTTTTGTGTGTAAACTTTTTCATGAGTTTTTACAGGAGTGGTCTCATACAGTATGTGTCCTTTTGTGACTTATTTCACTCAGGATAATGTCCTTCAGTTTCATCCATGTTATGAGATGCTTCACAGATGCATCATCGTTCTTTATTGTTGCATAGTACTCCATTGTGTGTATGTACCATAGTTTGTTTATCCATTCATCTGTTGATGGGCATCTAGGTTGTTTCCATCTTTTTGCTATTGTGAACAGTGCTGCAATGAACATGAGCGTGCATAAGTCTATTCGTGTGACGGCTCTTATTTCTCTAGGATATATTCCTAGGAGTGGGATTGCTGGATTGTATGGTGTTTCTATTTCTATCTTTCTAAGGAAGCGCCATATCATTTTCCAAAATCGTTGTACCAGTTTGCATTCCCACCAGCAGTGCATAACAGTTCCAACCTCCCCGGAGCCTCTCCAACATTCGTTTTTTCCAGTTTTTTTGATTTGTGCCAGTAATGCTGGGTTGAGATGGTATCTCATTGTGGTTTTAATTTGCATTTCTCTAATGACTGGTGATCACAAGCATTTCTTCATGTGTCTGTTGGCCGCTTGAATGTCTTCTTTGGTGAACTGTCTGTTCATTTCCTTTGCCCATTTTTTAATTGGATTATTTGTTTTTTTGTTGTAGAGGTGTTAGATTTTCTTGTAGATTTTAGAGGTTAGAACTTTGTGTGACTTGTAACGTCCAAAAATTTTCCCCAATCTGTAGGTTCTCTTTTTACTCTTTTGGTGGTTTTTCGATGAGCATAAGTGTTTAATTTTTTAGAACGTAGCTTATCTTCTGGAGTTTGTGTGTCATTGGTTATGGTTTGTGTCCTGTTAATGCCGTGTATTAGGGCCTCTAGTGTTGATCCTGTTTTTTCTTCTGTGAACTTTATAGTTTTTGGCTTTATATTTAGGTCTTTGATCTATTTCAAATTAGTTTTATGTATGGTGTGAGGTATGGGTCCTGTTTCATTTTTTTGCAGATGGACATCCAGTTTTGCCAGCACCATTTGTTAAAAAGACTTTCTGTTCCCCATTTGATGGACTTTGGGCCCTTGTTGAAGATGAGGTGACAGTAGGGGGATGGATTTACATCTGGGTTCTCAACTCTGTTCCATTGGTCAATGTATCTGTCATTGCACCAGTACCAGGCTGTTCTGACTACCGTAGCTGTATAGTAGGTTCTGAGGTCAGGTAGTGCGAGCCCTCCTACTGTTTTCTTCTCTTCAATAGTGCTTTACTTATCCAGGGCTTCTTCCCTTTTCGTAACAAGTTAATGATTAGTTTTTCCATCTCTTTAAAGAATGTTGTTGATATTTGGATTAGGATTGCATTGTATTTGTAAATTGTTTTGGGTAGAATTGTCATTTTCACAATGTTGAGTCTACATAGCCATGAGCATGGTATGTTTTTCCATTTATATAGATCCCTTTGGGTTTCTTGCAGTAGTGTTTTGTAGTTTTCTTTGTATATGTCTTTTACATCCCTGGTCAGATTTATTCCTAAGTATTTTATTTTTTTAGGGGCTATTGTAAATGATATTGTTTTCCTGATTTTCTTTTCATTGTTCTCTTTATTGGTGTATAGGAATCCAACTGATTTCTGTATGTTTATCTTGTATCCTGCTACTCTGCAGAATCTTTCTTTTAGTTCCAGGAATTTTCTCATGGAGTCTTTTGGGTTTTCTCTGTATAGTATCATATCATCTGCAAACAGGGACAGTTTAACTTCTTCATTACAAATTTGGACACCCTTTATTTCTTTTTCTTGCATTATTGCTTTAGCTAGGACTTCCAGCACAATGTTAAATAGGAATGGTGATAAAGGGCATCCTTGTCTTGTTCCTGTTCTCAAGTGTCTTAGTCATCTAGTGCTGCTCTAACAGAAATACCACCAGTGGATGGCTTTAACAAAGAGAAGTTTATTCTCTCACAGTCCAGTGGGCTACAAGCCCGAATTCAGGGTGTCAGCTCGAGGAGAAGGCTTTCTCTCTCTGTCGGCTCTGGAGGAAGGTCCTTGTGATGCCTCAGTCTTCCCTTGGTCTGGGAGCATCTCAGCGCAGGAACCTCTGGTCCAAAGGACGTACCCTGCTCCTGGCACTGCTTTCTTGGTGGTATGAGGTTCCCATGTGTCTCTGCTCGCTTCTCTCTTTTATATCTCAAAAGAGATTGGATTAAGACACTATGTAATCTTATAAGCCTCATCAGTATAACGTCATCACAGTGATAGAATTGACAACACATAAGGAGATCACATATAACCTCATCGCAGTGATAGAGTTTATAGCACGTAAGGAAATCACATCAGATTACACAATCATACAATACTGGGAATCATGACACAGCCAAGTTGATATTTTTGGGGGACACAATTCAATCCATGACACAAGGGTAATGTTTTCAGCCTCTCTCCATTAAGAATGATATTGGCCATTGGTTTTGCATAGATGCCATTTATTATGTTGAGAAATTTCCCTTCTATACCTATTTTATTGAGGTTTTTATCAGGAATGGGTGTTGGACTTTGTTGAATGCCTTTTCTGCGTCAATTGAGATGATCATTTTGATTCTTTTCTTTCCTTTTATTTATGTGGTGGATTACGTTGATTGATTTTCTAATGTTGAACCATGCTTGCATAACTGATATGAATCCTACTTGGTCGTGGTGTATTATTTTTTTGATATGATGCTGAATTCTATTGGCTAGAATTTTGTTGAGAATTTTTGC